AAGCACATTTTGAAAAATTAAAATTTGATGCAATTTGTGTGAACAAAGACAAATACACACACACACATAGCTGATGATAGTATATGTAACGCAAAATTTCTTTGCAGTGTTTTGCAGGGAATATAGTATTAAGATGTCTCGTAATGTAAGTGTAGATGACTTGCAAATTTTGAGTAGGAAATTGGAAAGTAATTAGTAACCCCCTAAAATTTGACCTTTGGTAAAAACTCAAGAAAATATGTGCTATATATTTTAAGCTCCAAAACGGGAACATGAGATATAAATAACATGATAGTAAATAGTAAATGTTCACCAAAGGAGGAAGGAAAAACAACAGACCGACATTTTCAGCCAGCCAATGGCATCACTAGCTTGCAAAGCTGAAAAGAAATGGACAGACCTTCTCAATGCAGTCGTGGCCTTCTCAATGCAGTTGTGGCCTTTTCATATGTGATTTCCTCTCCATCGTCAACTTTCACTGGGGGAATTGTCTATTTGAAGTTCTTCTGCCTTAGGAACTGCTGGTTAGTGAAGATAAAATTAAGAGTGCTACTAATGAGAGGATTAAAGTTATATGATGATGATATTATTACTAATTAAATGTTATTAAACCCTAAAATTTTAATGGTGCTGCCCATCAGATAGGAAATGAAAACTTGTAAGTACCAGAAACAAGACAGACAAAAAGTAGATGTTTGTTTGTTTGTTTGGTGGTTTTTTCTTTTTACAACTTGTTGTGCACCTACCAAAGAAGGCTCCTTTCTTTTCCCCAACTACGAATAACATCGAGAGAAGCCCAAAAGCCCCCAACCAAGAACGAGTATATATATATATATATATATATATATATATATATATATATATATTAAGGGGTGGGGAATAAATTGGTAGCAAACTCGACATTACAAGATTCGAACTTTAGTTTGTGAAGAGGAATATCATTAAACGCTAGTACCAAGAACAGGTATATTCATCCTGAGAATGTTACTTGTTACCAAAACCATTGATCATATTCGATGAACACATCTTACAACTTTCATCGTACTGTGCTCTCCTACATATGGTTGATACACGATCTCTAAATTTAAATTGATTATTTTTTTTTGCAAACATAATCTTTAGATGACATGAAAAAGTAAAATAACATCTCTGATAATGCAGTTTATACGGTATGTTAATAATAAGTGGTGGATAAGTAGGTACACCTATAGAGTGGATGATGAGCCAATTTTATACTATATATTTTACCCTATTCTTACTTGTAATTTAGTGGTTATTTTGTGAGAATTTTGATACTTTGATTTATATTCTTAAGGTAGGGCATTCAACTTCCTCTGGAGCAAAACATGATGAAATGGATGAATTTTAGAGTGGTTCCCATTGACGTACGTTTGTGTGTCTCTCAACTTGATCATATCAAAGTTTCAAATTTTTCTACTAAGCGGTTTATTTATGGCGATTAAATGAAGGAGCAGCGCGCAGTGTTCTCAAACTGACGTTCTGGGTTTCTTTGGGCTTTTTGGCATCTAAGATGATGTCTTTTGGGTTTGAGGCCTTTTGCAATTATGTTTAGGACATCTCAAGTTTTAATTCAAATCATTTTGGGTCTGTTTTGGATCCCTGGAAGTCCAAAATTGTGGCTGGGTAGATTTCCCAAAGTTAGAATAGGAATGTATTTCCTAGTTATCCTAATTTATTTGGTTTTCTAATATTATGCTAAGACCTTTTCTAGGTAGGGTTTTATTTTATAGTAGCATAAATAAGGATTTTTAGCCATTAGGGTTAAGGAGACAAAGAGAAGGGAGGAGAACAGATCAATACTTTGCTAGGCTTCGAGAGTTGTTTACGATTCAAGTTTATTTTCAAGGTGTTTTCTATCCTTATTTTTAATAATATTTTGCTTTGTGATTGTTCGTAACTAATTCTCTTTTGCTAGGGTGAGGTCAAGAGCATTAACAAGAATATGTAGTTTCTTTTCAATTTGCTTATGATATTATGCATGCAAGTTTTGAATTATTAATCACTCGTTTAAACTATCTAATTTCTTGGCTTTATAGCCAAAATGGTCCCTGAGATTTGCATAACACATCACTTTGGTCCCTGAGATTGTCCACCATCCATTATTTTGGTCATTCCATTAAAAAGTCCGTTAAGTGTCCCAGAGCTCTTAGCCAGAAGTTTGAGCAACTTTCAAAACTTCATAACTAAATCGTTTCTTAACGAAATTCGACCCATAATATATCAAAATGAAGATAGGAAAGTGTAGAACAAGATTATACCTATATGGAAGCCCAATGGTTGCTGGAGATGGCCAGAAAATAGCCTTAAAGGTGACTGGTCCACGGGAAAACTTAAAAAGTCGTCAGAAACTGGGTAAACTTTAAACATTCATAATTTCTTCAGTACTCAACAAAATCGAGTGATTCAAAAACAAAAATCATACTTCTTAATGAGAAAAAGAGAATGGTACCTTTCTCAAAGGCTAATTCGCCGTGGTTAGGCTGAAAAACGGCTCAAAGTGGCTAGCTCGAGACCAAGACAGCCACTTTCGAGCCGTTTTCTGGCTAAAACTCGGTGAGTTAGCCATCAAGAAAGGTACCATTCTCTTTTCCCGCGGACCAGTCACTTTTCAGGCTATTTTTCAGCCATCTCTGGCAACCATTAGGCTTCCAAATAGATATAATCTTTTTCTACACTTTCCTATCTTTATTTTGACATATTATGGGTCGAATTTGGTTAAGAGGTGATTGAGTTACGAAACTTTGAAAATTGCCCAAACTTTCGGCCAAGAACGCTGGGACCCTTTAACGGAATGACCTAAATATTGGATGGTGGACAATCTCATGGACCATTTCTATTGATTTTCAATTTGGGACCAAAGTGATGTGTTAGTCAAATCTCAGGACCATTTTGGCTACAAAGCCTTGTCTTAATACTTAGCTACCATTAGGATCTTTAGAAAAGTAATTTGATGCAATTTTGGTCGGTGATCGGTCCGTGAAATTGGCGAAGGCTTCTTGTGGTTAATATGTGCAAGTTCACTTAGGATGAATATCACGTCTAAAGGGTTGTATTGTTTTTCAAAAGGTTTTACAAAGCTGAATGAGTCAAGCATGTTTAGATTTGATCTGAATACCAGAGACGGATTGCATGTCTGATATACGTTCCATGTTGGGGGTCCAAGTACGCATATATTGGGAAAACCTAGCCTTCAAAATAGGCATGTGTAATTCATAAGTAATTGGAAGAACTACATAGGATTGTTAAGGTGACGACATAACTCTAGGCTTTTACAATTTAATTTTCAAAAACCGTTTTCTTTTAGTTTATTTTATTTTGTCACTTTATTTAATTATTTTCTATTAAATTCGTTTTTATTATTTTAAATTACAAAATCACCTTTTTTCAAAACTTTGTTTTATGTAATGAATTAAGATTTGGTTTGATATAAATTATTCATTCAATCTTTGTGAAGAACGACCTTACTAGAGCCAACTATACTACGATTACCTTATTCTCTGCAAGTATTTTTTAGTGTTTTTATCCATACTTTTGTAGGTGGTAAAAATCCCTATCAAGAAATTGGCGCCGTTGACGGAGATTGTTTTAAATAATTTGTGTTTATCAACTCTTAGTTAATTATTTTGTATATATCTTTTTATTTACTTGATTTTTTTTTAGGTTACAATTTGTGCAACAATGGAATTTGTACCTCCTGAAATATACAACCCGGAGGACCACCTTTATGGGTCAAATATGAAAAATGGGTTTTTTATGGATTTAAACCTACAATTTGTGCACTTTGCTATTTGAAAACCCATGATGATTTGCAGTATCCTAAGAGGGAATATTTTTCAAATTATGTCCAAGAGCATGTAAATATGAGAAACGATTCAAAAAGGAACTGGAACAATCCCTATTCAGAGTTCTACACTCCAAGTTTGAAAAAGCATCTTGAGCAGTATATTGAGTAGCTTAATGTGCCACAAGAGCTTTCGATGGAGGACAAGCTCTCTAAATTGTTGGAATCAATTGAGTTGTACATTTGAAATAACCAATCAAGGATTTCTTATTCAAGCATGAAATTGTGGAAAGAGCTTTAATGATCAAGAGGAGATTGGTGCAAGAACTAAGGAGCAATCTTCCATTTATTCACACTCAAGGGAGAAAGAAACACATGTTGGTCCTAAAATCCTCCCATAACCGAATGTTACCCATGTTTATGTGCCACACGAACTTTTCCCACAAAAACTACAAAACTGCGCTGAAACTGAGTTAGGATATGCAAAATCACATGACAATGCACCATCAAAGCCATTCATAATTGCAGAAATTAAGTACAAGTCCATCGAGCAAACTACATTCTACAAGGGAAAGAAGCGGTAGCTTAATGACAGCCTAATTCTCTGTAACGAAATTTGGCCAATGCAAAAATTGTGGGTATTAAATACAAGATTGAAGTCAGTTCAAGGAAAACACAAGCATCGATGGAGCGGACCCTATTTGATCACAAAGATTCTTTCACATAAAAGGCCAAATATGAATGATTGAACCACTCAACTGGAACGCATAATTGATAAACATCTCACTCTGTACCTACTTTTGCCCTATGATGCTGCAATGGAGTGGTTGATTCTAAGAGAACAACTGATGTGACCATCAATTCTTCTACGTCTAGCTATAGACGTTAACTAGAGCGTTTATTAGGAGGCAATCCAATTTTTCTAACTCTTTTCTTTATTTTGTTCATTTTATTTTCGTCCTTTTCTTCTTTATCAAAAAATCCAAAATAAATAAAACAAATTGAAAAACACAAAAACATTAATTTTTTTTTTTTAGTTAATCAGTGTTTTTATTTTGGGTGTATTCTAATTAGATTTTTATTGTGTGATCATTGTGGGTTGCATTTGGAAACAGTTCAGCCCCAAATATCCAATAAATATGCACATTGGACTGAATCATGCATTCAGCAGCATTCAACATACATTCACTTCAGAGCATTCATCATAAATTCATCAACATTAATGAGATTCAGCATTACAAAAATCAAACACAGTGGGTTTGGTGATGAAGTCCCTTGCATTGCTTGGCACCCCCTCTCACTCAATCACTCCCTCGCATTTTATTTAAAATATTATTACATACAAGTTTGGGGGTGGGATCCAAGCAACACAGAAGGGAGCACAGCAGTGCAAGCAAATCAAGGATCCAGTAGACATCGTCAAGTTTGACGTTGCTACCGTTCCTTGTCATGTTCACCATCGTCTCTGCTCGTCGTCTGCAACACAAGCTCACGGACATGCAAATATATTAGACTCGGATTTTCGCTATTGCATTTGGGCTGGAAATAAGAAATTAGTGAGCAGAGAAGAGGTCGATGCGTTTTACCTTTGTGCGTCGGCAAACCGTAATGGCTGAAATAGGTGAGCTGGGATAGGTGAGATGGGCTCAAGTCTGAGGTTTTTGTTGAAGGCAGAGGGTTTTGATATGGAGGTGCAGATCGGGTTTCTAGAATGAACACTCAGAAATGAGAGAAATGTGGCATCTTTTAGCCTTTATTTTGGAATCCTATCAAGTTCACCTCATGGATGCCTGACACGTGTGCATGTCATGTCTGTTCTGAAATGGACGTTTTGAATTAGAGAGAGGGAGAGCCGTTTGGGTTCTGGGTTCGTGGATGGAGCAGCTGCTAGGGTTTTTCAAATGAAAAATGAAACTGCTAAACCAACAAGCCCCCAAGTCATGAGTTCGATCCTCCAAAGCGGTTGCATTGTGTTTTCTTTTTCATTATTTTTCCAGAGAATATTTTCCTTGCCCCAGGTCACCACTTCTAATCCCAGGTGTGTCCATTCCCTTTTCTTTTCTCTTATTTTCTGTTTTATTTCTTATTTTATATTTTCTTTTATTGTTTTCTATTTTTCTTTTCTAAGGTCATTTTCTTTATCTTTGATAGTTGTTTTACGTTTTCTAGGACTTAGTAGTTTTTTTTTCTTTTATTTATTTTCCACATCTTAAGGACAATGTGTGATTTAAGTCTAGGGGTGGGAAATAGAATTTTTAATTTTTAATTTGAAAAGTTAGTTTAAAATTTTCGTTCCTTTTAAGTTAATATCCATAGTTTATTTTAAACGTTAGAACAAATGGACATGGTGAAGGTTAATCCCACAATAGAATCTTTTCTATTTATCGTTGCTTAGGCACTAGTTCATGAGTTATAGTTTGACAATTTGCACATTCATATCAACTTGGTTTGTAGGGAGTGAGATTGGAGCTTCTTTTTTTTTTTTGTCTAAGTTAATTTTTAATTTTCGTTCTAAATAAAATAAAGTAAAGTTTTGTCTCAGTAATCGGGCCAGTCCTGCCTGATCAACAGTGATTTTCACGTCAAACGGTAGAGTTTTGGCATGGGCATGGTGGTTAATTGGTTTTGTAGCCTTTTCAACTCGAGTTAATAAGTCCTTATGGGTGTTCTACACCTAGTGCCCTAAAGCCTTAATGGTTTCGGAGTCATTGACTTAAGGCTCGCTACATGGGTTGGATAGAAAGCTTAAGTGAACTGACATTGCACGACCACTACTATTACTGAAGAAAAAATGAAAATAGAAGGAAACAAAAAGAGAAGAGCAAAATTGAAGAAGAAAAAAAAATAGCTATATTTAAATTTATTATGTGTGAAATAAATGGACAAGAGGTAGAGGTTTTAGTCGAGTCTCTTTAACTATATTGGTTTACTTTACACCAAATGAAGCTCATGAATTATTTTCTAATTGATTCTAAATGGCTTAGACTCTATGGTGGGATTAGTTGGAACTTTTGAAAAGATGTTCTAATTTTTAATGTTTTCTATCGCTTGCAACTTGAAGGTGAAATTTTTGTCTTAGTTAAGTTTTAGTTTAGTTTCTAGTTTGTTAGTTTTTTTTTTTTTTTTTTTTTTTTTTCTAGTTTTGTTTTGCTTGAGGACAATCAAAAATATAAGTTTGGGGGCATTTTGATGAGTCAATTTTATACTATATATTTTACCCTATTCTTAGTTATAATTTAGTGGTTATTTGGTAAGAATTTTGATATTTTGATTTATATTCTTAATATAGGACATTCGAATTCCTCTGGAGCAAAACATGATGAAACAGACGAATTTTAGAGTGGTTCCAATTGGAGTACGTTCATTGTCTCTCAACTTGATTGTGTCAAAGTTTCAGATTTTTCTACCGAGCGGTTTATTTATGGTGATGAAATAAAGGAGCAACGGACAGTGCTGTCAAACTGACGTTTTAGGCTTCTTTGGGCTTTTTGGTGTCCAAGATGATGTCTTTTGGGTTCAAGTCGTTTTGGGCTTGTTTTGGAGCCCTAGAAGTCCAAAAACGCGGCTGATTTGTGGCTAGGCAGATTTCCCAAAGTTAGAATAGGAATGTATTTCCTAGTTATCCTAATTTATTTGGTTTCCTAGTATTATTCTAAGACCTTTTCTAGGTAGGGTTTTATTTTCTAACAGTATAAATAAGTCTTTTTAGCCATTAGGGTTAAGGAGACAGAGAGAAGGGAGAAGAACGAATCAATACTTTGCTAGGCTTGGAGAGCTTTTTGCGATTCAAGTTTATTTCCAAGGTGGTTTCTATCCTTATTTTTATTAATATTGTGCTTTATGATTGTTCATAACTAATTCTCTTTTGCTAGGGTGAGGTCACGAGCCTTAGCAAGGATATGTAGTTTCTTTTCAATTTGCTTATGATATTATGCATGCAAGTTTTGAATTATTAATCACCGGCTTAAACTATCTAATTGTATTAATGCTTAGCTACCATTAGAATCTTTAGAAAAGTAATTTAATGCAATTTTGGTCGGAGGACGGTCCCTGAAATTGACGAAGGCTTCTTATGGTTAATATGTGCAAGTTCACTTAGGATGATTACCACGTCTTAAGGGTTGTATGATTTTTCAAAACGCTTCATAAAACTTAATAAGTCATGCATGTTTAGATTTGATCTGAATACCACAGACGGATTGCATGTTTGATATACTCTCTATGTTGGGGGTCCAAGTAGGCATATATTAGGAAAACCTAACCTTCAAAATAGGCATGTGTAATTCATAAGTAATTGGAAGAACTACATAGGATTGTTAATTGAGAGCAGAACTCTAGGCTTTTACAATTTAATTTTCAAAAACCGTTTTATTTTAGTTTATTTTATTTTGTCACATTATTTAATTATTTTCTATTCAATTATTTTTTATTATTTTAAATTACAAAATCACCTTTTTCCAAAACTTTGTTTTAATTAGTTAATTAAGATTTGATTGATATAAATTATTCATTCAATCTCTATGGAGAACGACCTTACTCGAGCTGACTATACTATAATTACCTTGTTCTCTTGCAAGTATTTTTTAGTGTTTTTATCCCTACTTTTACAGGTGGTAAAAATCCCTATCAATGGACACATGTATTGTTTATAATTAAAAACTACGTGGGTGGAACCAAGATAACTAGAACTCACAGTAGAAACATAATCAAATAAGTATCATAGGTTCATATTGGTGGGAAATGTTATTCTTGTCAAATTGTGGCTTACATTTGCAGTAAACTAATTGACAACATTATAAGTTTGGATGAAGTAATTAAAGTATACCTGCATTCGCCATAGGAGGTCACTATTGGGCTTAACCTACTAGCTATTATTGTAGAAATGAAGATGAGCTTGTTCTACCTAAGCTCGCTCTTCGGTGGTTCTTGCTTCAGGGTCAAACTCGAATATCTGCCTACCCACGAAGTTGTTTGTGCTGTAAATGTATGGATCATTGCCACCTTCTGCGACCTTAAGCTTCCACATTTTTTCAGTATTCTTGATTTCTTTCTTCTTATCAAGCACCTGTTGCATGCATGCAATTTATAAGTCACAATGCATCTTTATAGGAAGTGTTACTTGCACACTCATTTTTACACCCTACATACCTTGTTAATTTTTAGTCAATGATCATTTTCAATTCATTTCATTTGATGGTCGAAAATTGAGAAGGGTATGTGATAAACAAAAATGGGTGTGTAGATAGCACTACCCTATATATATATATATATATATATATATATATATATATATATATATATATATATATATATATATATATATATATATATATATATATATATAAACTTAACTATTTTCTTAATGTTTTCTTAATGTGATCACCTTCCTCTGGATACATATAGATAGAAAGTTAATTGTTTCCTTAAAGGTTAGGCAGGTTCTAGGCCGAACCCACTGAACTTTAACTAATGACTTAGTGGGTATTTAATTATGTTGCAGGTGAATAGTATGCGGTCCAGGTTTTCAAAAGTACCTTGTGACGTAGCAATGTGGACGGCAAAGCTACCCTCTTTCATATTGAAAGAAGGTAATTCAGTTGATTTTTTTGTTTTCACAAAGGATAGTTGCTATCTGGTGGAAAAATTGTACTTTCAAAGGGACAAAAGCTAGAGCTGCGAGATGAAAACTCATCCTCTGATAGCAATCAAATCAGCAACTTATTGGATCATAAGGAATGAACTGAGAGGGAAGGGCTTACACTAGAAGGAAAAGCATATTCTATAAAAGGCAACATAAAGGAGGAAGAAAAGGACACTCACTCAACACAAAATGACTTCAAAGCTCTGCAAACCTCCTTTTTACAAACTCTTTTTGTTGTTCAGACACTCATTTTCTTTATAGCTCTGCTATATCACTTGTAGCACCAATTTTTTGTATTAACTTCCTTTCTAAAAAAATTTCCCTTGCTTGCAAGAATTTGCCTGACAGATGGTCAATTTTGCCTGAATGAAATTAAACTTTGCCTTAATGCTTTTATTTGTCATTTTTTTCAAATTATTAACCTTATATAATTTACTTTCTTGTTAATTAACATTTGATGAACATCTAACCATCCTTTACTTCCCTATCTTTCCTTTCTATCATTACTTGCATTACTTTTTGTCTTTCAATTTACTTTGCTGTTGCAAATTAAGATCTGATTAGTTTAGGATTGTCTCTTGGCATAAACACAAAGAAAATACAAAGTTCTTGGTGACAAGGCATAGGAAAAAACTTAACTATAGATTAAACTCCTCTATGGCAAAATCTTATGATAAAGAAGTTCGATTTATTTGTGGCTCAAGCAAACGGTCTATTACTAAGTTTTTCAATATGGAAGAAGTTTCCGAATTCAAATCTCCTTCGAATACTGATTGTTTTAAGAAAACCACATTTCAACTTAAAAGACAAGTCTTATGGTGGGAGTATGATTTGGTTTTTAGTCTTTTACTTATTTTTTTCAACTATGCCAAGTCGCCAACGTCACTTAAATGTTGTTGGTGGGTAGACATGATTCAATCAAAGATGTCGGTTGCCATGATTTATTTGTGTTGAAGGTGACGAATTGGTTGGCTTTCAAATGCAGATTTGGTCATTGCATTTTTCCATTGGGAGAGAGAGAGAGAGAGAGAGAGAGAGAGAGAGAGAGAGAGAGAGAGAGAGAGAGAGAGAGAGAGAGAGAGAGAGAGAGAGAGAGAGAGAGAGAGAGAGAGAGAGAGAGAGAGAGAGAGAGAGAGAGAGATGTATATAGAAACGTAACTACGCTTTCAATGGGCGAATGTATAAGTGAACTTCCTTTCTATATATATAGATAGAAACTTAACTGTTTTCTTAATGTTTTGTTAATGTGATCAACTTCCTTTGGATATATATAGATAGAAAGTTAACTGTTTCCTTAAATGTTTTGTTATTAAAAAGTTAACCGTTTCCTTAAATATATATAGATAGAAAGTTAACTGTTTTCCTTTGGATATAAATAAACTAATTAATTGAGTTTGTTTTCTTAAATCTTACGCATCA